CAGTGACAAAAAATTATGCCGCCAGACAGCGGCCCCTAAGGCGACAGATATACAAAGCAATTCCCGAGGTGTTCAGTGAGCGGCTTGAACGGCTAGGTTATTACTAAATATATCTTTCTGGCCAAACATCGGCCTATAAATAGATGTCTACACAGTGACAAAAAAGTAGGTCGCCTTACAGCGGCGTATCCTACAAATTGACATTATAAGAAATGGTTTAGACCAAAAAAAAAAAAAAAAAAAAAAAAACTTTGATGCGATGCTATACCTTAGTAGATTGTGGAAAGTCGACAAGTCAAGCGTAACTGTGTACATTACAGAAAATCTTAACAAGACAACCAAACATGTGGCCAAACCGTGACCGATACAACAAGTTAACAATGTAAGAAACAGGAGGGGGCCAAACCGTGGCAATAAATAAACAGTCCACCTCATTGATGAGATGGACAACACGTGTCAAATAAATATTTTAAAAAAAATTGCTATTCCATCGGTCTGGAACTGGTCGACTATAAATAATTAAAAAGTTTAAATTCATGTGACAGTCGTCCAGCGACGTATAAATAATTTAAAAACACCAATTCATGAGGGGCCCGACCAGCAGAGTATAAGTCATTAAAAAGGTTCAATTCATGTGACGGTCGTCCAGCGAAGTATAAATAATTTAAAAACCCCAATTCATGAGGGGCCCGACCTGCAGAGTATAAGTCATTAAAAATGTGCAAAACATGAGTCGGCCGACCAGCAGCCTCTCAATAAAATATATATACAAATGTACGGATCAGGTGGAGGTCTTCCATTTGTCCCTAATAACATGTTTGGGGCATGATTCATGGCGGATTTAGTCAGTTGTGTCAGGAACTGGTGGTTTGAAATCCAGACTAATCCACGCCTGATTCATTTTCACAAACGTGAGTCTCTCCACACTTTGGGTGGACAGTCGTGTCCTCCGCGGAGTTACAATACCTCCTGCCGCACTAAACACGCGCTCCGATGCCACGCTACTGGCCGGGCATGACAGCCTTAATAAGTGCAGCAAACTGTACCTTTAATTTAAATGCCCTTGGTCAAGTTTCGCTTGGGAAGAGAAATAATACTGTCAAGGGTATGACGGTTGCAGATGAGTGCCGTCGATCTTAGAAATCACCGCACACCTTCACTCATTTGGCCAGTCACGGGGCCAAAACCAGTGTTTGGAGCCACAGTGTGGCGGTGGAGGCAGCAGTTTCCAATGGGAGGCCATACAGCAACCTATGACAAAATGGAAACCAGCAGGAGTGTGAGGAGACCTGAAAGTGGCACATGCAGTGGGAGCAATGGGAGGCGGTACAAGGACCCATGTCACACTGTGGACCCAGCAGCAGCGTGACCAGGCGGTACGGGGGCCCATGGCAGATTACAGGCCTGGCAGCAGCAATGGGAGGCCCGTAATCTGACAGCACCCTATGACAAAAAATGGAACACACCAGCAGTGTGTGAGGAGACCTGAAAGTGGCACATGGCAGAGTGTGGCGATGGACAGCCAGCAGCAATGGGAGGCCGTACAGGGACCCATGAGAGACTCTGGACCTGGCAGCAGCATGAGGAGGCGGTATAGGGGCCCATGGCAGATTAGGGGCCTGGCAGCAGCTATAGGAGGCCCGTAATCTGCCAGCACCCTATGACAAAAAATTGAACACACCAGCAGTGTGTGAGGAGACCTGAAAGTGGCACATGGCATGAGACACTCTGGACCTGGCAGCAGCATGAGGAGGCGGTATATAGGGGCCCATGGCAGATTAGGGGCCTGGCAGCAGCTATGGGAGGCCCGTAATCTGCCAGCACCCTATGTCAAAAAATTGAAAACACAAGCAGTGTGTGAGGAGACCTGAAAGTGGCACATGTTTGGGGCATGATTCATGGCGGATTTAGTCAGTTGTGTCAGGAACTAGTGGTTTGAAATCCAGACTAATCCACGCCTGATTCATTTTCACAAACGTGAGTCTCTCCACACTTTGGGTGGACAGTCGTGTCCTCCGCGGAGTTGCAATACCTCCTGCCGCACTCAAACACGCGCTCCAATGCCACGCTACTGGCCGGGCATGACAGCCTTTCAAGGGCAAATTCAGCTAGTTGGGGCCAAAGGTCAAGTTTCGTTGCCCAGTAGTCAAGGGGATTGTCTACCTCGGTTGGCAGGGTGCTGTCCAAGTAGGCCCAAGCCTGTTGTTTGAGCTCCTGCTCCAGGTCCACCTGATGCTGCTGCTGCTGCGGCTGGTTAGTAGTTTCCTCACTGCGCTGGTGAAGAAAGCTACTCATCATCGACTGCAGACTGAGGCAGCCGCTGCTGGTGGAGCTGCCACTGCTCCTACCACCCCACCCCTCCCCTGCTGCCATGGCAGCGGAACGCGAGCGCACAGGGCCCACAGTGTCTGAGGATGGACGTTGGCGCAGAAAGGCAGAAACCAACTGACTACATAGGTGGTTTTTATAGTACTTTATTTTGGCCTCCCTCTCAGCAGGTGTGAAAAAGACCACCATTTTTGAACGGTAGCGAGGGTCCAACAAGGTGGACAGCCAAAAGTCATCCCTCTGTCTGATGGTTATTATTCGGCTGTCGCTACGCAAGCAACCGAGCATGCTATGGGCCATTTGTGCCAAGGAATGCGAGGGACTCCCTGCCTCCATCTCCACAGCATACTGCCACGGTGCGTCTGGGTCCTCTGTCCTCCTCCTCCTCCTCTACCAGATGCTCCTGCTCCTCCACTCCTGTCCGCTGAGTGGAAAAACCACCCATTTCACTCAATAATTCCTGAGCACCAATGTCCTCCTCTACCTCCTCCTCTTCTTCCTGTCCTGCCCCCACAGGGGTCATGTGGCGTTGAGATCTGTGCGCCACGTCTACCGCACCCTGACCAGCCATTGTTAACAGCATTTGTTCCAGGACGTGCAACAGAGGAATGACGTCGTTCATCCCATAGTCCTGCCGACTCACGAATAGCGTGGCCTCCTCAAAGGGCCTGAGCAAGCGGCAGGTGTCACGCATGAGCTGCCAATGGCTGACATCTAAGTTACACAGGGGAGTACCTTTATCCGCTTGTAACATCAGGAAATCGGTGATGGCCTTTCACTGTTCGTAAAGGCGGTCTAACATGTGTAGGGTTGAATTCCACCTTGTTGCAACGTCGCAGATCAGGCGATGCTGTGGAATTCCGTTCTGCCGCTGCAGCTCAAGGAGGGTGTGCTTTGCGGTGTAGGAATGGCTGAAATGCATGCAAAGTTTACGTGACATTTTAAGGATGTCTTGCAGTGGGATGGTGGATTTTAGGAACCGCTTGACAACCAGATTGAACACGTGAGCCATGCATGGCGCATGGCACAACCTTCCTTGACGCAGAGCAGACACCATGTTCTTTCCGTTGTCGGTCAACATGGTTCCGATTTTCAGTTTTGCGCGGAGACAGCCATCTGTCGATTTCTCTGTTCATTACACTGAGAAGTTCCTCCCCTGTGTGACTACGTTCGCCAAGGCATACCAGGTGCAGCACAGCGTGACACCGTTGCGCCCTGCACATGTGATATGCCGGTCGGGTAATGGGACTTGGCACGGGGGTGGCGGCTGAGGACACGGCGGAAGAAGAGGTGGTAGAGGCGGACATCTTTGCTGGACCAAGGACGTGCAAACGTGGAGGCAAAAGCGGCGTGACCTGTCCAAGTTGCTGGTGCGGCTGTGACGGCACCACGTTCACCCAGTGGGCCGTAAAAATGACATGTACTGTCCCTGACCGTAGTTACAGCTCCACACGTCGGCGCTGCCGTGCACTTTGGCAGAGACCGACATGCTCAAAGACTGGCCCACCATCTCTTCTACATGTGAATGCAGGGCTGGCACTGCCTTTTTGGCGCAAAGAAATGCCGGCTTGGCACTCTCCACCGGGCTCGGCACAAGCCATCATTTCTCGGAAAGGTGCTGAGTCCACCACTTGGAAAGGGAGGGACTGCAGCACCAGCAACTTGGACAGGAGGACGTTCAGCTTCTGCACCGTCGGGTGCGTGCTCGCAAACTGTTGTCTCTTGGAAACGGATTCCAAGAAAGACTGCTGACGGAATCCGTGAAGAGGAGTAGCAGGAGAAGGAGCATCTGAACGAGCGGAAGATGCCAACGAGCGACAACTCCCCTCAGCAGAGGTGTTGGAGCCTTGACTGGCTGATAGAGGGCGATTGACGTCGGGTGACGGAGCAAGTAACGGAGCGGGTGATGGAGCGGGGGCGGGGGGGGCAGGCAGAACCGCCGTATCTTTATCACGGTTTTCCCAGGCCACCGAATGGCGACGCTGCATATGCTGACGCAACGCTGTAGTCCCAACATTGGCCCCCTGGCCACGCTTGACTTTCTGGCCACATAGTCGACACATACGGCTACGTTTACTTCCTCGGGCTCGGGCGGCTTGACGAAAAATTGCCACACCGCCGAGTAGGAAACTTTGCCCCCCGCTACTCCTCACTGGCTGACTGCTACTTCCTCCGTGCACACCGGCACCACTACTGGCCGTGGTGGTAGGCTGCAGTGGAGCTGGTGCTCTACTCCGTGGCCGTTTGGCTCCACTGACACTGCTGCGACCCTGCTGCCTCCTGGGCAACCCACCGACTGTTTTGCTCGCTGGCAAGCTGGCACCCTCTTCTCCTGATGATGCGGAAGCAATAGCCTGATGACGACGAGGCTGCCAAGTGCGATCAGCCTCATCATCATCAATTAGGGTCTCCGCACTCACTACTAGCCCCCTCGGCTGCGTGTGGGTCAGGAGACAGACCTGTCTCTAGACCGGCTACCGAGCCACTCTCCTCGCCAGTACTTCTTCGCCTGGCTGCTGAAGAGGCGGATGTCTCCCCCCCGTTCCTGACCGCCCTCTGTTAGCTCTCTTCCTCACTGTACAGTGGGGCTGAGCCCACAGCATGCGATACTTCTTGGTGAGGGAACACCAAAGGACAGGGGCAGGTCGAGGACACGTGATTTCAGTGGGCTTGCTCCCCGGGCCATGCCAACTAACGGTTGTGTCTGACGTACCCACCGACCGTTGGCTGTAGGTGTCAGAGGTGACCTGGGAAGAGGAAGACGACCGAGTCAACCAATCGATGACGGCAGGGTTGTCGGTGGAGACACGACCGCTGGATGACACCGGGAGCACTGGCCTCTGGCTGCGACTAGTGCTGCCTCGACCCCTTCCTCTGCTGCCACGTCTGCTCGCTCCTGAAACATTGCCTCCTCTGCCACTCCTCTGCGTGTTGTCTGACATACTCTTTAATTCAATAAGCACCCCAAAAATAAAACCGGATTTAACTCTTTGAACGTACAATAGTGGTTGTGAAGCAGAAAGTCAGTTTATTTAGCACAATCGGTCAATTGCAGCTTGCCGTTGGCTGGAAACTGTACGTTTATGTCACTGGAATGCACTAATCCCCAAAAAATATTACCGCCACCCGGCGTGTATATGGATTTAACTCTTTGAACGTACAATAGTGGTGGTTGTGAAGCAGAAAGTCAGTTTATTTGTACACAATCGGTCAATTGCAGCTTGCCGTTGGCTGGAAACTGTACGTTTAGGTCACTGGAATGCACTAATCACCCAAAAAATATTACCGCCAGCCGGCGTGTAAATGGATTTAACTCTTTGAACGTACAATAGTGGTTGTGAAGCAGAAAGTCAGTTTATTTAGCACAATCGGGTCAATTGCAGCTTGCCGTTGGCTGGAAACTGTACGTTTATGTCACTGGAATGCACTAATCACCCAAAAAATATTACCGCCAGCCGGCGTGTAAATGGATTTAACTCTTTGAACGTACAATAGTGGTTGTGAAGCAGAAAGTCAGTTTATTTAGCACAATCGGTCAATTGCAGCTTGCCGTTGGCTGGAAACTGTACGTTTATGTCACTGGAATGCACTAATCACCCAAAAAATATTACCGCCACCCGGCGTGTAAATGGATTTAACTCTTTGAACGTACAATAGTGGTTGTGAAGCAGAAAGTCAGTTTATTTAGCACAATCGGTCAATTGCAGCTTGCCGTTGGCTGGAAACTGTACGTTTTATGTCACTGGAATGCACTAATCACCCAAAAAATATTACCGCCACCCGGCGTGTAAATGGATTTAACTCTTTGAACGTACAATAGTGGTTGTGAAGCAGAAAGTCAGTTTTATGTAGCACAATCGGTCAATTGCAGCTTGCCGTTGGCTGGAAACTGTACGTTTATGTCACTGGAATGCACTAATCACCCAAAAAATATTACCGCCAGCCGGCGTGTAAATGGATTTAACTCTTTGAACGTACAATAGTGGTTGTGAAGCAGAAAGTCAGTTTATTTACACAATCGGTCAATTGCAGCTTGCCGTTGGCTGGAAACTGTACGTTTATGTCACTGGAATGCACTAATCACCCAAAAAATATTACGCCACCCGGCGTGTAAATGGATTTAACTCTTTGAACGTACAATAGTGGTTGTGAAGCAGAAAGTCAGTTTATTTAGCACAATCGGTCAATTGCAGCTTGCCGTTGGCTGGAAACTGTACGTTTATGTCACTGGAATGCACTAATCACCCAAAAAATATTACCGCCACCCGGCGTGTAAATGGATCTAACTCTTTGAACGTACAATAGTGGTTGTGAAGCAGAAAGTCAGTTTATTTAGCACAATCGGTCAATTGCAGCTTGCCGTTGGCTGGAAACTGTACGTTTATGT